ATTTGTGTGGTCCGAGCGCCATTCACTTAATAATGTGCGCTCAGACCTGAGCTATCTGGGGATATGTGAAATGTCTGTGTTTTATGTATAAATGTGACTTTATGTATTTTAAAGTGCTTTGTGTCTTTTTGCAACCATGTGCTTAATGGAGTCTTGTGTCTATCCTGGGAGATAATTGAATTACTTATCTCCAGGATAGAAGACTCTGAAACTGGTTTGGGCCAGAAAGCCATGCTTCATTTAGTCACAAAGGACTTTTTACTAACTTTTGAACCCCTTGTCTGATTTGTGCCATTTTTGAATATGTTGTTCCCCTGAATGGATTGATTGTGCATATGTAATTTTATGTGAATGTGATGTATGGTTTTAGAGTTATGAAAGTTGGGTAGAAAGTATGTTTTAACTGTATGTATAATTGAGTTTCCTCTCAGGATAAGGGGAGGGAATATGTGGGATGTAACTGTGATGTGATTGGTTGTTTTATACCTCCCTGTGGGCGGTCCTGTATTTGCAAGACTGTAATAAAAACCAGGCTGGGTGTGCCAGCACCTCAGACCACTGCTTGACCCTCAACACGGAGCCTTGTCTCGTTCTTGGGGGGATTCACTGTATGCTGTTAGAGACTGATTGCCAGGAGTGTAAGCTGATTGTCTGCTTTTCCTGTTCGTCTGCTAGCAGCTATTTGGGAGGTTCCAGTTCGGGAGTTGGAGTGCTATTTTGTATCCAGTTTGGGAGTTTGGTGTTCTGCAGTAGCTGTGCCTGTATCTCTGGAAAGGGGGCCGATCGCCTAAACGGTTTTTTACCCCTTGTGTGCAAAACGGTCCGTTACATGTGGGATGTATATTTAAAAGTTTATGTTTTGTGATATGTAACTCTAGTGCCTGGGGGATAATTGGGTTTAGCAAATGTCTCTTTTGGATATGGTATTAAATAGGGTTTCCTGTTTCTGGAAGGCTTGATCATTACCATATCAAAGGACTTCCTATCTTAGAGGCAAGCAAGACATATGGCAGATGGGACACTGCTATGTGACTTCCCACACCCTACAGAATAGCTCTGCTGGAGTCCAAGCTTCAAAGAGGGATTGGGGACATTCAATGCAATCAATTAACCCCCTTTGAAATATTAAAATGTATGTGGGGGAGTTTGGAAATTGTAGATTTGCTGTACCTTAGAGGTGACTGAATTTTCTCTCAGACACAGAGGATCATGGGAGGGAGGACCCTGTAATGTTGTGTTGGAAACCCCTTCGCAGGGGGCTTATGTACCAATAAAGATTGTCAGAGTTGTACCCTTTATCTAGTCTTGACTGATGTTTGGGGAAGGGATTGCTGAACCACTGAATTTACTTGTATGCTGTACTTTGATTCCTGGGAACGTAGGAATCAACTATAATCACTAAATATCTAGCAGTTCGGGAGGAACCAAACGAACAAGGAATGGAGTACCAGCGTTTGTTACAAATACATATGTTTGATTTCCAAAAAGTCAACATAGTGTTGGGAGCTTTTAACCTTTCATGGTAAACAAGTCTGTGCTTCCCATATATTATGCATACAGGACAGGTGTGTCGTAAAGCAAGTGTAACAACCACTGAAAACATACGCGATGCTCTCAGCAGAAGACAGAATGGGAAATGGAAAAATTCAAATATGAGCTTTTAACATCAGTAAGGGATGAAACACCTAATTGTGTAACAGGACGCAAGCCGGATTGTTAGAGAAATGCAAACCTATATCGGTTCACTTTAAGGCAAGACTCACAATAGGGAAATAGAGAAACCAGCCTTTCAGGGATCGCAAGAAATGGGTAATTGCAACGATCTTGTCACATGGTTTTAAAGAGAATTAAAGGATAAATGATGGGGAAAACAGTAAAATGGTTACATGGAGTAAAGAACATAGAGCGATGGGTGACTGATTTCAGTTCTAATGTGTGAGGAAAGCTGTTAGAGGATTTTAACTGTTCGCTTCCACTCATTATTCCAATTAGAGCTGTTTGTCTGCCAGGTGAACGCGCACAGTAACACTTCGTTCGTATATGCCTTTTTTCATTGCTTTGTATATATACAAACAGCCTGGAGGCATAATGAACCATTGCTAGAGCTGACATCATTTTCCATTCAAACTGAAACAGTTGTAGCTTTAAGTACATAATGAGCACAAATAATAAAACGTAATAATACCAAATAATAAAAAGAGAAAAATACTAAACAGTGGGTTCTTCATTTCAGATCTTTCCTAACTGTGAGCGATTTGCAGCGTGCTGTGAGATTAGACCAATTTAAAGTCATTCTCTATAAAATGCCCATTATTTTACCTGGGGTCCCGCCATTTATCACACACAAAGGGTAATTCACCAAAGAGTGAATTATCAGGAATCTTTAGATTAGGAATCTCAAATATCCCAACTGGAGGCAGGACTGACTTTCTCCAAATGAACAGTTTTGGCCTAAGTTTTATTGAATAGCCCTGGTGATGTCCCAAGCGATGCCCTGTGTGGGTATATTCTCTAAACAGTGAGCTGTGACGTGTTAGTAACAAACATGCACAGGGGCTTTTTCCTACTGGATGGTTTATTTTGGCTAAACCTTAGAGAGATATGTGAAACATGCTTTCATTTGAATAATCCCTCTCTGTATTTTGGTTTCCAGAGATAATACTTCCCAGATACCTCCTGCTGCGGTGCGTGGCCTTTCATTTCTACACTGTATTACTATATGATCTGATACATACCCTACACATATTTAATAATTAGAGATCACACATATAGATAAACAGACTGTGCCACCCGTGGTCGAGGCCCCAGGGAGAGTGCGCAGCTTAGCGGATAAGGGCACATGTATGGATGATGCATGATTGGCTATGTGCTACGTGTGGGTGCGTGAGATGTGATGAAGTGGGTGGTGACAGATCAGACTGATCTCAGTGCCACTTAGGAGCTGGGCCAGCAACAAGTTTCCCACCCACCCTCCCTTTGCTGCTTTGGGCCCGTGGTGTTGTCACAGCGAGGCGGGGTGTGTCCTTGCCAAATAAGGGATGGTTTGGTAGGTTAGATGGAAAAAGGGGAATAATGGCCGGGTCTCATCCTCCCCCTGTCTCTTATGGTGAACCTGGAGGAGGTCCCCACTGGGTTGAAAGCCGACCGGCGGGGAGCATTATGGTTGGGCATTATGGTTGGCTGTCATTATTTGAAGGGGTCAGTTATGGTTTTATGGGGGATGAGGGGAATATATAATCCAATGCCCACTACGTACATACAAGTTTAATGTTTCATTTAGTTTTTAGTTATTTTAGTAAATCAAGTTGTATTGAAATAAGGAAATAATTCCTGTTATGTTAATGCTATGTTTGCTTGTTTATATTGAATGAATGTCTTAAAGATGGGCCTTTCATTCCTGGACGTATAACGGAATGCTTTGACTGTGAAAAGGCCCATTTCCATATTATACTGTAACACTGTATCACATCCATCTCTCCTTAATGTGCAGGCTGAAATCCTGAGACATGAGTCTTGTTGGTAACGTAAGCTTGTAGATCAATGACTCCACCTACAGTTCAGACTCTGAATTACAGTTCAGTACCACGCCTTTTTGGCTTCCCATCAGTAAATCAGTATTTACTAAGCTCTTGCAAAAAACACTCTGACATCTCACATTACCTCATTCCCTTTCCCATTGCTATGCATATCACCTGTGTTTAATGTACCTACAGCCCATCCCAGACACTCCCCATCTCTCCATCACGTATTGAGTCCACCACTTTACTCACTTTTCCCACTCCTATTTACAGAGCCAGTATTACATTCCCACACACATCCAGATTCCCACACATTCACCACACTTTCCAATACCCACCACCTATTCCCCCACACCCCAAGTTACTCATCTCCGCTCCGACTCCCATTTACGGAACCTGAATTGCCTGAATTACAGTACCTGTATTACACTCACTCGCAGACTATATTATGCAGATTCCCACACCCATACCATCAGCTCCCAATCTCACATGCAGAACCCACATCGCATTCACACATAAGCTCGTATGTCTCAGATCTAGCCCTCTGTCTTAAAACCATGAGCCCATTCCCCTCACCCTAATCTGCTCCAGAACCAAAGCAAAACACCTTATTTACTAAGCTATGAAACTGAATACTTGGAAATGAACCTTGAATTCTTAGTTAATGTTACATTTTATGCCCTTATGGCACAATGGAATTCAATTTAGTGAATAAGTCTAGAAGATCTATACGTTATTTTGTAAATCTATTTCATTGAAACTCCAGCCTTCACCGGAAAGCCCATTCTTATTTCTAAATGGCGCACATCACGATATCCCACCTAGGAAACAATCAGCACACATATATGTGTTGGAATGCACACAGTAACTATCTACATCTTTTCATGAAATCAGAGGACATATTACCTTCAAAATGTAAAGAACATTGAATGACACGTCAACATCAGCAAACTTAAAAGGACAAAAATCAAGTGTATTGCAATAGTGCGGATTATTTTATTTTATGAGTTTCTCTATAGTGGGTCCACTCAGCTGATATTCCGCCTGTCATCGAGCAGGAGGTGACATCTGTCATATCTAATTACTGGAAACCCTTGAGAAATCTTTGCCTTTGGCAGAACAGGATTCTGTGCATACATGCCAAATATTAAAAGATATTTCAGACACCAAGGAGGTGACATTAGACAGAACAATAAAATCACCATCATCGTCATCATCACTGATATCATTATAAAGCACGCTATTATTTATAGCATGCCTTAACCTTAAACGTTATTCACAGAGGGGTCAAATCTTTCTATAGAACGGATCAAAGGATTTTACTGCTGAAATAAAAGAAATTGAATATTCGTCTGTTGTGGTTTATTGTTCCCAGCCAGAGTCGCAGGAGAAAAAGTCTTGTCAAGAAAGGGAAACTGCAAATGACAACTTTTAGAAATCCTGTAATTCGAGGCGTGAGTAAAAATGCAATAAAGAGTCATGCTGTGATTAGGAAACACACTTTGTGTGTGGCGTACCCCGAGCTACGACACGTTCTCTTCTTTTTAAGGAAATAGGAACATTCATTACTTTACTAATTAACCTACTCTGCAATATTTCAAATTTAGAGAAATTTCCATTTTAATTCTCAGTTTTTGTGCTTTTTGGCTGAAATCCGTCTCTAATTCTGCACTATAGTCACTGGCACGTTTGAAGTATATTTTTACAGTTAGGCCAGCGTCATGCAGTCATCAATAAACCTCTGACTTCAAATAATGTGAACTCGTAGCGTTTAGTGTTTTTATTTACTGGGCAGTTAATCTCCCGTTTTGCAGATTTGTGATTTAAATAATCTCCATCTATCCTTACCTCTGATCTGCTTGTATTGGTTTGTGGTCATGAGTTCCAGTTCATTTAAATAATTTCCAGGTTTTGGTAGCAATACTTATTGACTTTTAATTGATTCAATAACTTGTATGTTAAACTTAGTTGAGAATCTTAACACGTCATACCTTCGTACAGCGAATCAGTATTGCAAACAAATCCCGCAGCAAATTATGATACGCACTGCGTGAGCGATATCCCTGGGCTACTTGGAGAATGTGTGCCAGGATGGGGTTAAAGAGCACACCCCCTAAAATACACAGCACTGTGAAATGTCAGTACACTAAATATTAATGTTTACAGATCAAATACAAACTATACATTTAAGGTGTTTTTCCTTTGGACCTGTTGGCTGGCTGCTTGGTCCCTTTAGCCTGAGACCAGTCATAAAGAGAGCTAGGCCTGAGAGCCACAAATCCCTTTATAAAGGCAGGAGCTAATCACATTACAGGCAGAGGTGTCCCTGTCTGGGAAAGGAAATGAAGAGGAAAAAGCAAAGGGGACGATACCTACCTGGAAGGAAACAGCTGCAGCCTGGTTTGATGAAAGAGCTCCTGAGAGACCATAGTCAAATTTTGGCGACTAAGGCTGAAGCGTTTCTGGGTCCCTAATCATGGATAGGGAGCGGACTGGGAGGAGATACTCAGTCGGAGTACTGGAGCTTCATCACACACATATAAATATATTGCTTCAGACTGGGGGAAGAGAGGAAATGTCTCGAAAACCTGGCTGTCAAGTATTATGTTAGTCCAATAAAAAAGGTATCATTGCATACTGCGATACTCTGCACTCTTATATACTAGTGTATAATTAAAACTAAACGTTGTGATCCTGTCTGTAGGTTTTGTACACTTTATACACATTGAGGTAGTATTAGTAAATTCAATCTTGTCTTCAGAATTCCCACATTCCACACTACCTGCTTTCCTTTCCTGATTCCTGGAGGATTTTAAAATAATTAAAGTCTTTTTCGATAAGTAATTTTCCAACTGACAGTTCATTTTCTTTCATCCATAATAAAATGCTTTTTACTAGGTAAATCCCTCATGAATTTAGTAAAATCGATGAACAATTCAGTTGTATTTGTTCCACCGTTAGATGCAAATGTGTATAATCCGAACCTGCGTGTGTAGCGTCTGTTATCTTTTAACATTCTACATATTTGTTAGTTTGTATCTACTGCTCTTAAAGGTTTAGCAAGAAATCAGCAACTGATGGAATAAGCACCCACATTATTGTTTGTTTGGTTTTAATCTACACCCAGGGCTGATCTTGTTTGTTCCAATCTTGGTTTTCTCCATCACAAACCCTCGTAGACTAGTGGTTAAGCTTGATCACGTCCTTGATACATGTACTCAGTCAGAAATGACAAACTACTCTTGTAACCTTGAATTTCATTCTGTGTTGCCAGATCAATTAAGTTAGTCAGTTCTTGTTCGTGAGCCTTTCTAAGAGAGAAAAATAGTTTTCGTGTCCTGGTTACTCCGAGACTGTTCTGCTCTCCTTGACCCAAGAGAGGGAACATTTTAATCTACAAATCCCCACAGGCGTTATTAAATAAAGGGTGAATTACTATTGGGAACAAATGTTAGAATGAAGACTATATTAACGATTATATTCAGTGTTTTAGTGAGATAGGAACCAAGACAAATTAATCGAAATGTCTGGCCAGGTGACAGATTTGAACATTCATAGAGTTATTTACTAACCAGAGAATTGTCTGAAATTTAAAGTGAATTCCAAATTTTACATCAAAGTAGCCAAAGCGGACGCATAGTTGACTTGTAGAAATTTCCCAGTGCGGCTTCTTTGACCTTAAATTTGGAATTCCCTTTAAATTCCTGACGATTCTCATGTTAGTAAATAATCCGGATATAGTTTAGAATACGTGATATTCAAATATTACTAAGAGCTTATTTCTCGAATTAAAGGGTCACGCGAAGACAGGCTGAGAGAAACGGGAGGGCCCAGCCATTGTTAAGTAAATTTCACGGCATCAATGCGGCTGACGGGGAGTGGGATAGGACTGGTGAGAGAGACACGTGTTTTCAAATCGCTGCCATATAGTTTAACATACCCAATACTGTG